GTTTTGATTTGAAGAAATTTTAAAAAAATTTAAATTAAAAAAAAAAAACCCCTAAATCCCCAAATCCTTTTCTCTTTACTCTTCACCCTTTACGCATTTCTCCCCTTTTTTTTTCACACAAACACACTTATTTCTCCTTAATTATCTAGAAAATCGGTTCGATTTCTGTTCTAGAAAATATATAAACTGGAAATTCGGTTTGGTTTTGATTTGAAGAAATTTTTAAAAAATTTAAAATTAAAAAAAAAAAAACCCTAAATCCCCAAATCCTTTTCTCTTTACTCTTCACCCTTTACGCATTTCTCCCCTTTTTTTTTCACACAAACACACTTATTTCTCCTTAGTCCTCACCGATTTTCACTTTTCTCTCTCCTCTCAAAATAAAAAAATAAGTTAAATTAGGAAAAAAATCAAAATAAAAAATAAGTTAAAAGGAAAACTGGTTAACCTGTTTTTATTAACCGGTTTTCCACTTAATCGATTTAATTTTGGTTCAGGAAAATTCCCAAACTAAAAAACCAGTTTGGTTGAGAAAGTTGGTTCGCCGGTTATGAACAACCCTACTGCCGAACTCTATAAGAGTAGTTTCGCCTAAAGGTGGTCAAGGACCAGTCCCAAGCAAGCCCGGGCCTGGGCCCGTTTGGACCAGTCACTCATGGGCCTGGGACCGGTCCTAGGCCCATAAGCAATTTTAGGACCCAGACCGATCCTATGGGCCTGGAAAATTTATTTTTCCCCCTTATCTTTTTTTATATTTTAGGGGCGAAATAAAATTTTGTTGGGGGTTTTTAGTATTTTTCAGGAGTAAATTAGTAAGTTTCTAAAAGTTTAATTAATGGTTAATTTTAACATAAATGTAATATTCACATTTCACACATTCATGTTCCACAAATAAACAATTAAATAAAAATTTTTTATTAAATTATTCATCTTCATCGTCAAAAATATTTACATGTCACGTTTCTCCTTCATCGTCATGAAGGACAGGTCCACTTGTAGGTAGCAATTCAGCTAATTTGGTCCATGTATGTACCATATACGACCACTTGCTCGATCCTTGACGGAGGTCTGCATCAGGGTCCCGATCGTCTCTCCTGAACGTTCCACTTCCACTTCCATTGTACCTGTTCTCATATAAAGAAAAAATGCTATCCAATTTTTGTTTAAAGTTAGTCAAATAAGACGTATAATTATGTCCTAAATGTTGGCCTAACTCAGTAATTATACAGTTAACTACGTGTAATTTAAACCTGGGATCTACAACAAGGCCTTATCCATATAAGAATGGAATATCTAACCAATATTTCTCATATTTTTCTTCTATCTATGAAACAATTTCCCTTAAAACATTATTATATCTATATTTAGCAAAAGTTTTAGCAATTTGAAGTAAAATATCTAACACTAAATTAGTAGTCGAATAATAAATATCACTTGATGTATTGGTAGAATCATAATTTTTTTTAAGAAATGAATAAAAAAGTTCACAAACTGTCCAATCATCATAGCTGACAACTTCCTCTGGATAGTGCTTTCGGTTGACGAAATCTATAATTTGTTTTGCGGTTGGCAAAGCTTTTTCCAACATCAAGTAGGTAGAGTTACATTAGTGGATAGGCATGTCCGTACATAACTTCAAAGGTCAAACCGGTGGGTCCTCTTGCTTACAATATTTAATGTACTATTGCCATCTTTTATTGCTACCGTCAACGATAAATCCGATAGCCGCGTGCACCCTCTCCATCTTCGAATGTATAGCATCTCAACCTGCTTTAACTATCAAATTGATGATGTGACAAGCACATCTCCGATGAAAAAATCTGCCTTCACCACGCGGATCCAATCGCTTTTCAAATAAAGAGATTGTCACGGTGTTAGCAGCTGCATTATCAAGCATTAGCGCTACAACTCTATCAGTTAATAGATATTCTTGAAAAACTTCAAGAATTGTAAAATAAATAATTTCAGCACTATATTTTTCATATAATGGTTTAAAACCCATCCATTTTTGTTGTAAACCCCAATTATGATCTAAGAAATGTACTGTGACAGTTAAAAAATCTGTTTTTGATCTACAAGCCCATATGTCTAATGTAAGTGCAATAGATATATTCCTAGAATTTTAAAATTCGTTTTTAAGTTTATTGTTTATTCTGTTATAATATTTTAGTATATATCTTCTACTTGTACTTCTACTAACAGGGGTATATGCTGGACAAAATGCAGTTTTAATCATGTGAATAAAATAAGGATTTTTAGATAAACAAATGGGAGAGTCCGTAGTAACTATGAATCTTGCTATTTCCTTTCATGCAACATGAGCATTGTATTGCCATGTTGAGAGAGTTAAAAATTATGGATTAAAATTAAATTGAGTTTGAATTTGTCTACCTGATCCGGTTGAAGATGTACCGGGCATCTGCATTATTTGGGGGTGCTTCTTCTCCAAGTGTCGTCGCATCGTCGAAGTCCCCTTCTCAGTGCCAATAATGGTTTCACATAAATTACATACCCCACACGATTCTTCCCCCTCCCCATTTGTCTTTGGCCGTTTTGATTTGGTAAAGTGTTGTTATAGATCGGACACGACCCTCTTTGACGGTCAGAGAGGGGGGGGGTTGGGCTATGCTTGTGCCCGTTGACTCGCAGCTCACATGTGTTGGGCTACATCTCATCCTGGCCGAAGGTGGTTGTGGAATTACAGTTGCTGCCTTTGGAGGAAATAGTGAAAATGAATTGAACCCTTCCATTTCTTCGGTAGATGGAACGTAAAACTCATTTGGAGATGATCATTCGAATGCACCATTTCAGGAATCCATTATGAATTTATGATAAAATAATAAATAATTAAAATGAAAAAAATTATATAATAATATGAATAAGAGATGATATTGAAAAATAGAAAAAAATGAAAAATATAAATAAATTATAAATATAAATATAAATTAAATGAGAATTTGATTGAAGATTTGAAGTAGAGAGATTGAGTGGTGTAGAAAAAATGAGAGATTTTAGAGTTATTTATAGTGTAGTTGTTTGGAGGGGGGGGGGGGCCGTGGTTTGGAATGAAAAAAAAATCCTTCCGCCCCCAAATGACTGTTGGCTGGCAAGGCTGGCAGCCAAAGGTTATTAAACAAAAGTAATTTTTTTTTGTTTAAATTTTATAAAATTATATTTTAATTCCTATAATTTATATTTATTTCATAATTTATAAAGAGTTTTATGTAATTATAAAAGGAACTAAAAAATGGTTAAAAAGATTTGGGCTCAACTGAGAGACTGAGCCTTCCTCTTTACGCCTGGTCCAAAAAAACCGGTCCTCTCAAGGAGCGGTCCTAGGACTGGGTTTTTAAGACCAGTCTAAATGCCCACCTCTAGTTCCGCCCTTGATAATTTCTTTCCTTTGCGTGTTAACTTAGTCCTATATCAATTATTATAGTCAGTATTCAACAAGCAATAATTACACCATTTTATGAGATAAGAGTCTTCGACATTTAAAATTTGACTCCTTCATGCATGATCATGGATCCATCTCTTCCATCACGTCTCTCTCCTTTTAGTATTTCTCTTTTCATCTCCATTTCTTCTTTTGATGATAACTCTAAAACTCAAATTAAATTGGTCAACAAAATCTGAATCTTGCAGATTAATAAGAGCATCGTAATAGAATTATCTTCTTGAAAAATATGCAAACAAAAATAATGAATCTTTCACAAAGATAGTGGTATTGAGTCTGAGTCGTCGTTGTGTGGTGTGGTGTAGTGAGTGGTACGTACGTTGGAGACATAGAGGACGATAACATTACTGGCATTTGAAAGAGATACGAACCGGTTTTGACAGAAGGCAAACAGAGGATATATTGATTGCAGGACTTACCTGAGATATCGGATATAGTTTCGTTTACGTGTTAATTTAGTCTCTTGATAATAGTACAGTACTGTAGGAACAACAGAACGCGTATGCTTTAATTACAACACATTTCATCCATTGACGACCTAGGCTCATCACTATTTCACCTTTGACAATGTACCTTAATAGATCTAACACTAGTTAAATCTTTTTGCATACCTGTCGATCTCCTTCACGTTTAATTTTATTGTTTGGCCTGTTTTGATTCTTATTTCAATGGAGCTAGCTGTAACTTCACTGTTGAGCAGGCAAGAAACTGTGCGTTTGTTTGGGCATCAGTAGTAGTGGGTATTATTAGGCAAGAAATCACACAAAGTGCTGTCTTGCATGTGGGCATATACCAAAACTACAGGAACCTTAGACAGAACATTGGATTTGGAGGGTAAGTGGATTCCAAATTCCTTAATACTTCAACAATGTTGTTCATCTAAGCCACTAGATCATCTTTCAGTCAACTCTGGACCATTTCCAGAGGTTTATTTGCTGTGAATCGGTTACATTAACCAATAACCCTAGAATTATGGACGTTAAAAATGGAAGTTGTAGCTTGGTTGCTTTACACAAAGAACATGCTGTGATGTGACCCTTTCACTTATTTATGTTTTCTTTTTCTCCTTGACGAATCACTGGTTTATTTTATTGATCCGTGATCGCCCATCGGTCTTCATCATGAAAAGATAGACTTCTAAAATTGCTGGGGATGGGTTTTTATTGCTGTTTATAATTATTCACGCATGATAATGTGTCCACCACCTAGCTAGCTACCTGCTCTCAAATACCTGGTTCAATCTTAATACAATATATTTGAAACCAGTCCGTTTTAATTTAAATCCAAAGTTTTTTTTCTTGGTTTTGGATTTGGGTTGGTGACGATCATCAACAGTTGAAAATATATGACGAAAAGTTGACGTTCATGTTAGGTCATTTGTTTTAGTCAAGATTCTTCCCCACATGGCCACGTCCTTCTCTGGGCTCAGAGAAGTAAATGTAGCTGAAGCTCTCGACCATTGCCACTGGTTCTGCATACATTGGGTAGATGAATAAATTACAAATTAATGTACTTTTTCAATAAATAAAAAGTTTGTCAAGTAGGAAGAAAATCAAGTTATTGCTCAGAGAGTGGTACAGGTTGGTTCTTTTTGTAATTTAACACTCCATGTTCACGTCGATCAGGCAAGAATCAATCTCTATATAAGACATTCGAAGGCCGCCAAACCGAGCACACAGAAATGTCGAGAGTAGAGCAAAAGCAGAAGTCTGCAAAGCACCAAAAGTTTCGCGGAGTGAGGAAACGCCAGTGGGGCAAATGGGTTTCAGAAATTCGAGAGCCGAGAAAGAAAACAAGGATTTGGTTAGGTTCTTTTGAAACTCCAGAGATGGCCGCTCGTGCATACGATTGTGCTTGTTATAGTCTCAAAGGAAGCAAAGCTTTACTGAATTTTCCCGATGAAGTCCATCAACTCCCCACTCCTCACACATGCACCGCCAAGGATATTCGCGAAGCGGCAGCAGCAGCAGCAGCAGCAGCAGCAGCTTCAGCTTGTTATACTGAAGCTAATGGTGTAGCCTCAGAGAAGAATAATAAGGGGAAGAAGGTATCAGAAGAAGAGGAGGGTGATGGTGATGGTGATGATGATGATGATTTTTGGAGTGAAATTGAACTGCCGGAGTTGATTAATTTTACCAATCGGACGTGTTATGAAGATTTCATGTGGGTTGATTCTGTAACTCAGCAACAGGTAATGGGGCTTAAGGCGATACTCGATCGAAGCTGATTAATTAGGCTTCCCCACCATCAAAATTTGTGGAATAAATAACAAGGTTTATGGCAGCTTTTGAAGCTTTTAATCCTAATTCTGTAAACGCTATATTAATTAATGTGCATTAATTTATTATTTCTGTATTGAATTCTATCTGATTATTTCTTGATTCTGTTTTCTTAATTGCTTGGTAAATTATTACATCCTTTTGTGAAATTAGAACTGATGATCAACACACCATTTCGTAGATCAGACGGGCCAGGTCAGATAAAACCTAGCCCAAACCATCTAAAGCCCAATTGCCCAAATGAATACAATAATAACTGCAAATTTGAAATAGTTGGTGAGAAACAAGACGTTGAGAGTTGCGGTATGGTCCAGAAATTGATTTGGGTTTTAATGAAACAAACATTATGGCCGGTAAGCACAAGCACAACTCCCACATTTATTAAAAGGATTTATCTCAAATTTGTCCATACTTGTTTATTTTGAATCTTTACTCTCAATTATTATTATTTTTTTTATTAACCGAGGTGTCCGAGCCACCCTTATGTGTACCTTAATTAATGTCTGGATATTTAAGTCAAATTGCGTACACTTCAACTGATTCCATGGTCTATTAAACACCTTGCAAACCCAATTGACCAAATAAATCACAAAATATGATAGGTGATCACTTTATGGGAATTGAACACAAGAGTTCTGGATAACCCCCTTAGGGGTTTACAAAACCGGTTAACTGATTTTGTGAACTGAACCGGTTTTTTGGTTCAGGAATTTTCTAGAATTGAAACCGAACCAATTAAGGAAAAAACTGGTTTTTCGGTTAACCAAAAAATCGGTTAACCAGTTTTAATTTAATATTTTTATAATAATCCATATTTTTTTATTTAATATTTTTTATAATAAACCGGTTAGTAAGACCGGTTTTAGTTAATCGCTTCTCATATTCTTTCAAACCGGTAACCGAATCGAAAATTTAATTTTTAATTTCTTTAAACCAAAACCGAATCGATTTTTTGGATAACTAGAAATTCAGTTCAGTTTTTGCATTTTTTTAAACACCCCTAAATCTATCTAGATGGCTAAACACCACAAGGCTAATGGTTTTCACTCTCAATTATTATTAAACAAATTTTGTATTATACAACTCATTCATTTATGAAATCGACCAAATTTATTTCATGGTCACATTTAACTAGTGACACTAACATTCACGATGAATCTCCATTGGTCCGAAACTCTGAAATCACTAATACCATGATATATGACTGGTCGAATAATGTACAATAAAAATATAAGTATTTATAAAAAGGTTGAATGACACGTGTCAATTAGAAACAATATGCAATAAACGACCGTAGAAGTGGTTGTTTGGGAGTAGTTAAGCGGTTGGAACAAAATGAAGAAAGTGAAAATGGGAAGTGTCTGGAGAAGGTCGCCAAGTTTTTTGTTCCTTACCTAAATAAACGACATGGCGGATTCTCCAAAACCCAAGTTTCAATGAGCGTACAAGGAACTGTCATTGGTAGGTCCTGACAACCCAAAGTTCTCAGCTTTTCAGGTATCTATATATATCATTTATTATTCATCATTTTTACTTAGAAGAAAGAAAGAGCGAGCAATTGGGGAAACTCAAGGGAAGGGAAGGAGATGGCAAGCATGGCTAGTACATTTTGTTCTTCTAAACTTTTTGGAACCACTGAAGTGAAAAGCAATGGGGCTTCTCTAGCTCAGTTCAATGGGCTCGGACCAGCGGAAAATATGCATTTGCCATCACCTGGGAATAAGCCGAGTGGGCTCATTTCTACTTCAGGTATTATTTATATTAGCCTTTCGTTTGTGTTCTTGAATATTGATGGTTTGTGTTTTTGTTATTTTGAGGGAAATATGAAGTGGATTGAATTTAATTTAGGAATCATTTTATTAGAGTTCTGTACTTGTTGCGTGGATTGCCATAGCTTTCTTCTTGTTAATTGAGTAATTTAGGGATCATTCTTTATGCTGGTACTCTTTCAATGTTTGTTAAGTTCTTGCAACTGGATAGTCTCATGTTTAATAAAGTTTGTATATCATTACCTGGGAGAGGTTACAGAAGGAAACTTTTTTATCCTGTTTTTCTTTTCTTGGGAATTTGATTCTAGTTCAGCTTCATGTCATGGTGGCAGCTTTAAAATGCAGAAAGATCAAGGCAATGGTTTCCCCAACTGTTTCAGCTCCCAAGCGCGAAACAGATCCCAAAAAGCGAGTTGTTATTACTGGAATGGGCGTTGTATCAGTTTTTGGCAGTGACATTGATACATTCTATAACAAACTTCTCGAGGGAGAGAGTGGAATTAGCCTAATTGATAGATTTGATGCTTCAAACTTCACCGTCCGATTTGGAGGTCAGATTAGAGATTTTTCTTCTACAGGCTACATTGATGGTAAGAATGATCGCCGTCTTGATGATGTGTGGAGGTACTGCATAGTTGCTGGCAGGAGGGCCCTTGATGATGCCAGCCTTAGCCCTCAAGTTCTTGAAACTGTAAGTCACAATGTTTTGGTTACAAAATTTAGCTCACCTAATATAATGTAAGACCAAATGTCATTAAATTTTTATATTGGTATACATGCAGATGGACAGGACCAGAATTGGAGTACTAGTGGGATCAGGCATGGGAGGCCTAACAGCTTTTAGCAATGGAGTTGAAAATCTTATTCAAAAAGGATTTAAGAAGATATCTCCATTTTTCATACCTTATTCAATTACTAACATGGGGTCTGCATTGCTAGCTATAGACACTGGCTTGATGGGACCAAATTACTCTATTTCAACAGCTTGTGCAACTGCAAATTATTGCTTTTATGCAGCTGCAAATCACATAAGAAGAGGTGAAGCTGATATCATGGTAGCTGGTGGTACTGAGGCTGCAATTGTACCTACTGGTGTTGGTGGGTTTATTGCTTGCCGTGCTTTGTCCCAAAGAAACGAAGACCCTGCAAAAGCTTCAAGACCTTGGGACAAAAATCGCGATGGTTTTGTCATGGGAGAAGGCTCTGGTGTGCTGGTAATCACAAACTCAATCCTGTTTGCTCATAAGATAATTGATTCCCTTATCCTTAAGTGTTTCATATTTGTTAGTGATATTAATGGTGCTTACTGAGAACAGATTATGGAAAGCTTGGATCATGCAATGAAAAGAGGAGCTAATATAATTGCTGAGTATCTGGGAGGCGCCATAACTTGTGATGCTCATCACATGACGGATCCTAGGTCAGATGGATTTGGGGTTTCATCTTGCATAGCCAAGAGTTTAGAAGATGCAGGAGTTTCCCCTGAAGAGGCAAGCACAGCCATTGGTCTCATTTGTCAATGTCTGGTCATTTACATTCTTATATAAAGAGTGTTATATTTATGATTTGCAGGTAAACTATGTGAATGCTCATGCAACATCAACTCTAGCAGGGGATTTGGCTGAGGTTAATGCGATTAAGAAAGTCTTTAATGACACATCCGAGATTAAGATGAATGGAACTAAGGTGAGAAGCATACATATATTTAGATTCACTATTAATTTGAAGCTAGATCTTAATCATTGATTTGCATCATAATACAAGATTATGGTAAGATAATATGTTTTGCTCTGTGATGGTTTCAGTCAATGATCGGACATGGGCTTGGAGCAGCTGGTGGATTGGAAGCTGTAGCAACTATTAAAGCAATCACCACAGGCTGGCTGCATCCAACCATTAACCAAGATGTATTGTCTCTAAGCTCTCAAAGTTCTCTAATTTGACTGTAACCTGTCTACAAATTTATAATATCTTTCCTAATGCACCGTATGTGAATACCTTTCTTTCTGTGGCAGAACTTGGAGCCTCAGGTTACAATTGATACCGTTCCAAATGTGAAGAAAAAGCATGAAGTTAATGTTGGTATGTGCTCTTGTTCTAAGCTCCATACAAATAGGCGATATTTTACATTCTAGAGTACCATAGAATTTAACGTTCTTATGTTTAATTCTGCAGCTATCTCAAATTCATTCGGCTTTGGCGGTCACAATTCAGTGGTGGTTTTTGCTCCATTCTCACCATAAACAAAACTTTTAAGTATTAGTCTTCTTTTACTCTCTCCTCCATAAAATCATTGATTATGATCGGGTGTTGTTGAAGTTGAAGTAGCCATGGAGACTGATAAAATATAAAACTGGGTAAAGAATTTGTTCATGCTTTGATGAGTTTTCAAGACAATGTAGCTTCTTTACCAATTTCATTCAATCTCATCACCCTGTTTGATGAAATAAACTCACTGTTACATTTCACTGAATAAAAACATTCCTGTTATTTTGTCCGAGTTTCATTCATCTTCTTGCGACATTACATCAACACACGTGACATATATTTTCTGAAAAATACTACGTCACAATCTTCTCTTACAACCCTAACGTATCAACAGATTGACATTGTCACGTCAGCTCTCACGACATCCAATACACGCATTATTAGACATGAACAGTCGTTTCTTCAGAAGAAAAAACTGTTTTATGCTCCTGTTATGAATGGCCATTATGAATGGTTGTTTTTTATTTATGAACGACCATTCCTTTATTCCTTCGGTTATTATTTCATAAAGACATGATTGTTCTCTACGAAAGAACAGTTGTTTATTTGGTCTAGTCAAAATCATTTTGACATGACAGCACCAACTCAATTGCTATGTCGGAGGTTATAAGAAAAGTTTGTGAGAAAATATTGTTGATGTAGTATTACTTATATTTTCTTTATGATTTCACAGTATCACACTGTCGTATAAAACACGAATAAAAGTTAAATAAATGGGCAAAGAGAAGAAAAAAACAGGTACCTTCCATTATTAACTGGTTTAAGTTTGGGCAACTTGGCAGACAAATAGAATCCGTTTGAAAGAATCTAGCTGTTATTCCATCCAAGTCGAGGTTCTATCAAACTAACATTTGCTGATACTGTTAAGCACTAGATTAATTAAACTAATCTTAGCTTTAACGCCGACATTAAAGTTAGTTAAATCCCTCCACTTGCAGCTTGGTGGTGATTACTGTACTTTGGTAATGAAAGTGATTACAGCCAAATCACATGGGAATCTTGATGTTGACGTCG